CACTCTGTCTGCTTTATTCAGATAGTCTGAATGAACTGGGAACGTTTTTTTAACATAATTCATATCTGATGTACTTCTTCAGATAAAATGTGAAAATATAATTTTGTTATTTATGAGATGGAGTGATTCTCTCATTCAAATTAAACCTGTAGTTTCAATACATTTCTGTGTCCCTGACATGAAAATGTATTGTTATACAGCGGGGTAACTTGCATATCCCCTTTTCTCCCCTCATCCTTCTCCTCTTTCATGGCCTGCACCTCCTCCTGTGCTCCTCTCATCACTCTGTTCTTTTTTTCTTTACTTCTGCATCATTTCCAACCTTTTATCCACCTTTTCTTGGTGCTGGTCTTTCTCTGTGCCGAGGGCAGATGTAAATGAATGTGAGCGGCTCCCGCAGCCTTGCGCCCACCAGTGCATCAACACTCCCGGCAGCTTCAAGTGCGCCTGCCCTCCTGGGCGCCACCTGCTGGGGGACGGCAAGTCCTGCGCTGGGCTTGAGCGGCTGCCCAGCTACGAAAGTTACTCGTACACTTACCGCACGTCTCAGTCCGCCCCCGGCGGCGGCTCCAGCCAGATGCTCTACCACAACTTGGCCTCCCAGAGCTACCACTCCTACGCAGCCCCCGCGTGGGGGCGCTACAGGAGTCGGAGCCGCAGGGAGACGCGTGTGCATTCCTCACATCAGGGCGTCCTCGCTTGTCAGCAGGGCTTTGAGCCCAGGGGTCACCGCTGCTTAGGTAACTATGGAGAAGAGGCAGGGTTGAGATGAGGGAGAGGAAAGTTCAGCATTTCATTACTGCCTGAGAATTTGCAGTGGGGTCTGGAAAACTGATGTTCTGTGTATCCCTCTGTGGCTGTTTTTGTGTGTGCGTGACATCAAAAAGACATCAACGAGTGTGAAGTGAGGGACACCTGTCAGCACGAGTGCACGAACACACCAGGAAGCTACAGGTGTCTCTGTCCTGCTGGTTACCGCCTCATGACCAATGGCAAGACTTGTCAAGGTGAGAACCTCGGTGTGCTCGCTCTGTCTACCCGGCAATCCACCTGTTCACTGGAACTCATGCAATTTACCCTCAAGCGAGGTGTGACCTGTGCTTACTGTAGCTGTTTGCTGTATCTGCCGCAGACACAGACGAGTGCCTGGAACAGAACATCCAGTGTGGAGTGAATCGAATGTGCTTCAACACGAGAGGAAGCTACCAGTGTATTGACACCCCCTGTCCCCCAAACTACCAGAGGGACCCGGTCACAGGGTAAACCTGCACACATACATGAAACCTGATCATTCTGAACTTTGAGACAAAGTGATCATATTTTATCATATATAGATATAAGTACGGGGGCGGGTTGTTTTCTCTTCAAATTGTAGCAGATTTCTGTGTAAAACCTTCTTCTTCGGGCTTCTCACATCGCCTTTACACCAAACCTTTGTTTTCTGCCTCCTGGGCCCACCAGCACCATATTCAACCAAAATTAACTTTTTTCTTTTTGTAGGTTCTGTCTGAGAAACTGCCAGCCAAATGACCTGGAGTGCGCACTGAGCCCGTACGCCTTGGAGTACAAGCTGCTGTCGCTTCCCTTTGGCATCGCAGCCAACCAGGACCTCATCAGGCTGGTGGCCTACACACAGGATGGAGTGATGCACCCCAGGACCTCCTTCCTGGTGGTGGACGAGGATTTCGCGTTGCCGTTTGCTCTGCGAGATGAGAACCTAAAGGGAGTGCTGTTCACCACGCGGCCGCTACGAGAGCCCCACACGTACCGCATGAAGGTCCGAGCCCTGTCCTACAGTGAAGACGGAGGCATCGAGTACCAGACGACCTTCATCGTCTACATCGCCGTCTCTGCCTACCCCTACTGAAAACACTTTAAATGACCCGAGTGGCTGCGTCCTCTGAGTGCAGTGCTGCAAAAAGTGGCATGGTGAGAGTTAGTGGATGCGACCGCATCAGTAAACAGACTGGAAAAAGATTATCGAGTGTGTGAGAGAGGCCAGCGGGTGCATACGGCCCCGAAGGTGTAAGGAAGTAGGACGCTGGATGTTTACATGAGGAAACTTACCAACTATTTATCAGCTCTAATCCCTGGAAACCTCCCAAACCTCTCAGTCAGTCATCTCCTGACTCTTCAGACTTATTTATAAGACACGTTAGATTCGACTCTTCCAAACCGAAACGCCACCGGTTCAGAGAGTACAACATATTAGCTTCTCTTTCATTTACATCAACCTATTATTAACTTCTTTGGGAAGGGCTCGAACACGAAAAATGGAAGACGGGTCCCACTTTTGCGCCATCAGTTGCCAAAGCGGAGGCGTCACTGTTCGGGTTTGGTGCTCAGGTACTGGCGCACGAACGCCTCAGGCAGAAACTCACGTCACCAGCGCGATGATCCACCCAACAGCTGGTGCCAAGATGTATTTTTTTACGATTTGTACATATGTTTTTCTCATAATGTAATGCCACACTTGTAATAAAAATCGAATATGAATAGATAAACGCTGATTTTACTAATTATATATGCGTGCACAGCACTGCTGCACAAAACATGACGGAGCGTGCCACACGTGGACCCGAGCGCCGTACGCAAAGCTTCTGATCACAGATAAACTCGAAGGCCATTCAGAGATAAGTTTTCTCCGTCTTTAGATTCTTCGTATCCTTATCAGTTAAAGAAGATTAATGATAATCATGTGCAATATCAAATAAAAGTAATTATTACATCCGAATTATTACATTTACAAATGTTTGGTAGTGTAAATCATTTTGAAGCTATGCTGTTGTTGATTATACATCCACACCTTGTTGATAATAGGTTGGACCTGCTTTTGCTTTCATAACTGTCTGAATTCTTCAAGGCACAGATTCAGGAGTGCCCTGGAAATCTTCCACAGAGGTTTTGGTTCAATTTTATTTATATAGCGCCAAATCACAAAAAAAGTCGCCTCAAGGCGCTTTATACTGTACAGTAGATGCAGAGAAAAGCCCAACAATCATATGAGCCCCTGTGAGCAGCACTTTGGCGACAGTGGGAAGGAAAAACTCCCTTTTAACAGGAAGAAACCTCCAGCAGAACCAGGCTCAGGGAGGGGC